GGACACGGGGTTCGTTCTCTGGTTCTTCGAGTTGACAGACTTCTTCACGGTTAAGAGGTGCTTCAGCTTCTTCTCCTGATCCGTCAGCCCATTCTCGCTAGGAGAGGTAACGGCCTCTTCTGGCACAAACACGGCGTCTTCCTTCTCCTTGTCATACACCACCAAACTGCCGTCCATGTGCGCTGCGAGGAACAGATTCTCACTATTCGGCAGCCACCGTATATCCGACACGGCGGTCTTGTTGATGACACCGTTCTTGTTGATGCGCGCGTACTTTTGCGACATTGGCTCGTACCATATTATGTCGCCTGTCGAGAAACCCATGATGATGTCAAGATGATTTGGGCCTTTTGTGATCTGGTTTATGTCGTGACATAGCGCGTGCGCTTTGGTGAAGAGGATCTTGGTCAGGTGTTCGTCTTTGGTAGGCGATGTCAAGTCCAGCCACTGGAATGCGCGGTTGATGTTTGCAAAGGCATAGAGGCCGTTGGGGTTGTGTTCTTGCAATCGCTTGGTCAGGGCCTCGTGGGGAATGACTCTGGATACGAAGGACGAGTTGCTCTTAACAATGTTGCTCTTCGGTTTCCGCCTCTTAGTAGGATCCTTGGAGTCTTTGCCGTTGATGACTGCCAGCGCCGCGTTGCCTTCGCCGAACACGGGTGTTTTCAGCCCATCCAGCGGAGACGACACGATGCCATTGGCGCTGTATGAACCGCCATCGCTCGCCTGGCTATTGGACTCGTGCGGCGACTCCTGTATGCTCGGGGGCACTTGCGACCGGGTGCTCGTCCGTGTGCCGAATCGGTGGAGTTGCGACTGCGAGGGCTGGCGGGGCGCAAGGGCGACCAGCGAGAGCTTGGTGCCGGCTGTGGGAGGAGAGACTGTCGTCGCAAGCGGGTTCGGGTTGTGGATGGGGGCCTCTGAGGGATGCGGCGGGGGCGTAGCTAGGTGGAGGTCGTCGCGCAGCACATAGGTACCTTTCATTGCGTCAGTGAGGGCAGGGAATGCAGGGTCCAGGCTGGTTAATTACCTTCTCCGACGACCAGCTGGTGCTCGGGGCCGGTGGGATGGGTGAGGGTGTTGTTGGTCTCGATAAGCTGGCCCGGCTGCGCGCCCGGGTAGCCTCCGACAGGATAGCGCGGCGGCGGAGGGAGGACGCTGTACACACATCAGTCGCGCGTCCGATGGGGGTGGAGCACGATAGGGCTGCCATTGGTGGGCGACTGGCGGTCAGCCAGAGATAGGACAGGTACTCACAACATAGCTGCTGCAGTGTAATCAGTTGCGGGCTAACTGCGGCCTGGTGGAGTCGCGGTGCCTGGCTAGGAGTGGCAGGGTAGAGTTAAGGGTAAGACATTAGCACCAGCAAGTACCGCGGCTATGGCATCGGCGTGTGAAGAGGCAGGATACGTCAATTTGGGCGCGCGCGGAGAAGGAAGCTTGTGGCCCGCGGCAGGCAGGCTGGGACTGGCATGGGAGCGCGGGCCATGGAACCATTGGGGAAGTGGAAAGCGGAGACGAGACGGGCGCCTTATGGCTCCGTGCACTGGGCAGTCTTATTAATTGCCTGCCATGCCGCTGGCCGTTGGTGGAGAGGACGAGGCATGACATGGGTCCGGCGTGTCTGCAGGGCCACTTGACAACGGTCGACGCATTGCACCTCCCAGCAGCCAATCTTGCGGGGCTGCTGGCGGGGAAGCTCCAGGGCTGCGATCGTCTCCCACGTGTGCCAAGCCTTCTGACAGCACTGGTGCTGCTCTGACCACGAATCGCTCGAAGTGCTATGAACATTGCACAAGTCTGAATATTCTCACGGCAGGTCCGACCAAGTTTTCAACCACTCACTACCTCCACTACATCCCTCACACCTGCCATAATGCATCAATAATGCCGCCGAGAAATGGCGACCGGTATGTGGAGCACCCTCCCGACAACACACTCACTAACATGCGCAGTACGGATCTGTCTTTGCGGTGACGATGGCGTCGGCAAGAGCTCCATCATCACGTCTCTTGTCAAGGACGTCTTCGTCACAGCCAAAATCCAGCCTGTCCTGCCACAGGTGACGCTCCCGCCCACGCTTGGGACGCCCGACAATGTCACCACTACCATCGTCGATACCTCCGCCCTCCCCCACGAACGACACACTCTCCGCACAGAGCTCCGCAAATCGAACGTCATACTCCTCGTATACTCGGACCACTACAGCTATGAGCGGGTGGCGCTGTTCTGGATGCCCTACTTCCGCTCGCTGGGTGTCAACGTGCCAGTGGTGCTGTGCGCGAACAAGTCCGACATCGCCTCGAATGGCACAACATCCCAAGTCGTGTCGGAGGAGATGCTGCCCGTCATGAACGAGTTCAAGGAGATCGACTCCTGCATCCGCACCAGCGCCAAGGACCACCACAATATCAACGAGGTCTTCTTCCTCTGCCAAAAGGCCGTCACACACCCGATAGCCCCGCTATACGACTCCAAGGAGAACGCACTCAAGCCAGCAGCCGTGTCTGCACTGCAACGCGTCTTCCATCTATGCGACACAGACAAGGATGGGTACTGGAACGATCAGGAGATTCACGATTTCCAGATTAAGTGCTTCGAGAAACCGCTGGGGGACGACGACTTGATGAATATAAAGAGGTCGATGGAGCGCTTTGCTCCTGGTCTGACCGGCGAGCATGGCATGGACGAGAAGGGGTTTCTGCTCCTGAACAAGATCTTCGCAGAGAAGGGACGACACGAAACCATCTGGATCATACTGCGGAAATTCCACTACACCGACAGTCTCAGTCTGCAAGATACGTTCCTCCATCCCAAGTTCGACGTTCCTCAGTTCTCCTCCGCCGAACTCAGCCCGTCCGGCTACCGCTTCTTCGTCGATCTGTTCCTGAAGTTTGATATGGACAATGACGGAGGACTGAACGACAGAGAACTCGCGAATCTGTTCGCACCGACCCCCGGCATGCCGACATCGTGGGTGGACTCGTCGTTCCCATCATGTACAGTGCGCAACGAAGCTGGATACATCACACTACAGGGATGGCTCGCGCAATGGAGCATGACTACCTTTGAAGAGCCTAAAACGACTCTAGCATACCTGGCATACCTCGGATTTGAGAGCGGCGAGCGCGGAGGCACCACCAGCGCACTCAAGGTGACCAAAGCTAGGAAGCGGCGGAAGAAGCCTGGCCGCGTCGAGCGCAACGTCTTTCTATGCTATGTCATAGGGTCGAGCGGGAGTGGAAAGAGCTCGTTGCTGTCTGCCTTCCTCCAGCGACCGTTCAGCCACACCTACCATCCCACGATAAAACCGCGTTCAGCAGTCAACAGCGTGGAATTGAAAGGTGGCAAACAATGCTATCTGATCCTAGAGGAGCTCGGTGAACTCGAACCCGCGATTTTGGAAAATCAGGCCAAGCTAGACGCGTGCGACCTGTTGTGTTATACCTACGACTCGAGCGACCCCACGAGCTTTGCGCATGTTGTCGAGTTGCGGAAGAAGTACCCCCATCTCGACCAACTACCAGCGGTCTACACAGCCCTGAAGGCAGACCAGGACAAGACGATGCAGCGATGCGAGCAGCAGCCCGACGAGTACACCAGCGCCCTGAGAATGGCACCACCACTGCACGTCAGCACGACATGGAACAGCATCTCGGAGCTGTTTGTTCACGTACGTACTACATCCATTGACTAATTCCACGAGCTAACACCGTATAGCTGGCTGAAAGCGCCACCCACCCCTCGACAGCCTTCCCCAAGCAGGAAGAGGACGGCTACGATTATCTCAATCTTTACCTAGCGCTCGGAGCCGTCACGTGCGCAGTGGCCTCGGCGATGTTTGTCTGGAGACGCAGCAGCGCATCGACCTGAGACCTGAGACTACGCCTACCTAGGAAAAAGCTGAACAGCCTAGAGCCTACATTGGCGCTGGGTTACTGCCTTTGCAAGGGTTTGGCTTAATGTAGCCTACAGACCTGTTCAGCTTTTGTCTTGTATGAGGTGAGACCAGGGGCCAGGCATGAATGTGAATCTTTGCTTCTTGTATATACCATGGCAGCACACCACTCCCACCCCTATAGACAAACTACTCGCAATAGGAAAAGTCCCAAGCGTCGGAGATGATGGCAATGCAGCACTCACGATAATGGCAGCGCGGAGGGTCAGCGCTTAAGCATGACATCACCTTGGCGTGCGGCTACGTTGTACAACAGACAAGTCTCAGCGGCACGAGCGAATAGGTAGACGCAGGGACATTTACCCCTGGCGCTTCGGCCTGACGGGGAGTAGCGCCAATATGTGGATAGATGATATCGGTGAGTTAGCATGGGATCACGATGTTGGGCTGGGAGCGAGGGAGGGTGACAGCTCGCTTGACAATGGTGTGGGCTAGCGACGTGCTTCATGGTGCACTTCCGTGACTTAGTCCGGGGATCTGCGAGTAGTCTGAGACGAGACGGCTATTCTTGTCTCTCGCACGCATCACATTCGGTGACAACGTGAACACCCGCGTGCTGCCGAAACCGTGAAAACTCCAGTAGGGGTTCCTTTTGGGTGTAGACGTTGAAACGGTCTAGTTGTTTTTGAGCAGGACCCTAGATGCGGTATCGATGTCGCCCGGCTGGGTAAGGCGGACATGGATTGGGTGTCTGGCGGGTTGAGGGCGGCTGCTGTTGACCTACACTCGGCTTGTGGTGATGCCCCCCTGTGTGGCGGAGCAGCTGGAGGGCGCCGAGTCGTGCATCTTGGGCGCGCTCCGGGCTAGTGACATTGCAGTTAGTTGGGGTGCTGGCTGGACATGTGCATCACGGCGCGAATGTGTACCTCTACTATTTCTCCCTGAGACCATGGTGCTTGATACTCCTTCGCCGCAGCACCAACACGCCCGACCCGTCCGCCTCGCAAACCTTGGGCCCTTGGATGCCCGCACCGCCTCGGCGCCCTAAGCAAGCCGTGGCAATCGTGCTAACCCGCACCTCCGCACTCTCTGAGGTTCGCAAATGGTGAGTAGCGCATGTCTACCTAGTAGCCTCAGGCAAACATCTACCAAATACTGTGGTGACAGTTGAGGTCGCCATTGTTTCGTTTCCCTATTCCCCGGCAAAGGCCCGCGGCGCCAACCCGACGTTCCAAGGAGCCCCCAAGCTGACCAAGTCTCGTACCCCACAGGCAACCGACAGAGCCAGAGAGCTGGACCGCCTATATCAGATGCGAAACCCAGGCCCGCGCCGGGGGCATGCGCCGCAGATATCCATCAGCGATGACAGCCACCACGTCACCGAGGCCATAGGCGACATGTACGGCGGCGACAGCGACACCGACGCTCCCAACCGCCGCAGCCTGCGACCCCTAAGCTTCGTCCCCAGCCCCAACGGCGACTCGATCCAGTCCTTTGGCGCCTTCGAGGCCTTCGACCCCTTCCCCAACGCGCCCCCCGCGAGGTCCCCGCTGCGTCCCCAGATGTCTTTCGAGAAGCCCCAAACGCCCACGAGCCCCAATGGCACCGCCAACATGGCCCAGAAGCGGGCCTCGGTCGCCCGGCACCCCTCGAACGGCGGCCAGATGTCCCCTCCGCTGTCCCGCTCGAACTCGAACACGGCGTCACACCAGTTCCCGCTGAACAACCTCGACTACGAGAACAGCCCGGCGGGCCTCGCCCAGGAGCTGAGCAACCTGCAGGCCATACGGAGGATGTCCATGGGCGTTAACAATGCCGATCCCGATCTGCCTTCGTTCCAGTCCGCAAACTCACCGCCCTCCCCACCGGCCATGTCGGAAGAGGACGAGTCGAAACTCTTCTGGGTACCCGCACGGCTGCACCCCGAACTGGCGCCCATGGAGTTCAAGACGTTCATTGAAGACAAGATTGACAGGACGAGACGACGCTCCGGAGACTCTGACTCGCTATCTCCGGACGGCGCCATGGGGCGTCAGGGCTCGGGTGGAGGGCTGCGGCGGAAGAAGTCCATGCTGTCCAGGCAGATTGATACTGGCTCTGGCTACAAGGACGGCGCCGAGAGGCTGGAGAGGAAGCGATCCGGCGCGCAGCCCAACGGGGGCTTGTCGAACCTACAGGAGCTCGAGCACATACAGGAGGACCCGGTGGCCCTGATAAGACGGATGAGCATCGATCAAAAGGGCATGTCGGGGGAAGGGGAAGAGGGCGCCGACGGTATGCCCATTGTGCCGGGTAGCAAGATGCGTGGTCTGGGCACGCTCAAGAGATCAACACACACTACGTACAGACGAGGCAGTCTGCGGAAAGGCGGCCCGCCCCTCTCACGGCGACTCGTCTCTGGCCGACAAGGAGACACAGACACGGAAGATTCCCCGTCCACCTCGCCCGTCCACTCTACCGAGAGCATACCCGAAGTCCCTCCTCTCCCAGGTCTCAACCGCGTTCAGTCGGAACCCGTTAACTCGGCGTTTGAAGGATCGTCCAACAACTTCTCGCGGCCTGGGGCAAAGCGGGCATCTCCCAGCTATGGCGGCGAGAGACCTGGTTCATCTGAAGAGTACCCCAGATCAGCTTCTACGGAGCCGATATCCCAGCAGGAGCGGAGTTCGCCGCAGCCCAGGCAGTTCCACTCGCGAATCGCCTCCAACGGCCGCACGACTGCACCTTTGCCAGGCTACACACCTCCGCCGCAGCAGGTACCCCAGATCATCGAGACACCACCGCCACAAGAACAGAACCGAACACCTCAGTTTCAGCTACCCGAACGTCACTCCTCCCGCCAACCTCCGCCTCAAGCCCAGCAACAACCTGCGGGCCCACGTCATTATCCTCAACCTCAGCAGCAACCTCCGCAACAACAGCGCCAGCCCCAGTCGTCGAGTCGACCGAACCGTCATGCACAAGCTGCTCAGTCGTCCCCGATCAAACCCGCTCAGTCCTTCGATGATCTAGTAGCGCATCCTTCGGCGATGCCCGGCCAGAACAACAGGGTCGATTCGTTGTCCATAATCCCGAACGCACCAGAAGAGAAGAAGCTCGAACCGAAGGCCAAAGATAAGAAGGACAAGGATGGCTCTGAGGGCGGGCAAAGGAAGACGAGCTGGGGCTGGTTTGGCGGTGATAAGGAGAAGGAAAAAGACAAGAAGTCAAAAGACAAAGACTCAGAAAAAGAAGCCCCGAAGAAGGTCAAGAACAAGCTCAGCAAGTCCCAGGAGAAGGAGAAGGACAAGGGCCACGATGACACGAGACTGGACCTCCTGCAGACATCGATACAGGGCGGCGGTCGTGGTCGCGAGAGCGTAGTGCTGGATCGCGAAAGCGTCAAGCTGGAAGAAGAGCGAAAGAAGGAGAGCGCCAGAAAAACATCCAGCGAGGGCAAGAAAGAGAAGGAACCTGGACTGCTGTCCTCCATCTTCGGAGGAGGAAAGAAGAAGGGCGAGAAAGAGTCGTCCCACAAGAAGAACGCCTCACGTGGATTATCGCCCGAGCCCCCGCCACGCATCTTAAAGCCCGATATCGACTACAACTGGACCCGATTTTCGATCCTAGAAGAGCGCGCGATATACCGCATGGCCCACATCAAGCTTGCGAATCCCCGCCGCGAGCTTTACTCCCAAGTCTTGCTGTCCAACTTCATGTACTCGTACCTCGCCAAGGTCCAGCAAATGCACCCGCAGATTTCCATCGGCAACTCCAAGCAAGCAAAGCAAGCTCAACAGGCTCAGCAACAGCAACAAGCCGCGCAGCAGAAGAAGGAGCAGCAGCAGCAGCAACATCAGCAGCAGGCTGCTCAGCAATCTCAGCAGCAGGTACAGCAGCAGCAGCAACCGCAGCATCAACAGCAACAGTCGCAGCCTGAGGAGTTTGCTCAATATCAGCGGTACCAGCAGGTAAGACATGTCGAGATTGAGTGTTTAGAAGAGAGACTAACGAAGAACATAGCAACAGCAACAGCACGAACAGCAATCCTCCGAAAAATCCTCACAAGAATGGCCCTCTGTTCACCAACAACAAGCCAATGGCGGCCTCTCATCACAACAAAACGGCCAACACCACCAACAGCATGCAAGAGGCGGCTCTCAGCAGGGTAATTCTTATAACCAGAACCCGCGTGATTCGCATCACTCGAATCATAGTGCGAATGGCGGGGGAGGAAGTGGTGGAGGTGGATATAGTGTAGCGAATACGCAGAATTATCTGGGACAATCTGGGAAAGGGGGTGGTGGTGGTGGGATAGGAGGGGGAGGAGGAGGGTATAGTAATTATAGTGATGAAGAGGGGGGGAAGAGGGGGGATGACGATATGTGGTAGTTGAAGTCATGGTTCGTGATTAATATGAGGACCTCGGAAGGTGGATGGGGGCCGAGTAGGGATATACAGCCTCTTTTCAACTACGCCTTTTCTCTTCATTTTTTTTTCCTGATCGTTGTGGGTTCGCTTTACTTGTATGTATATTTTGAGGGTTTAATATCTAAAGCGATGGCTGGCGTTGAGGCTGGGTGGGAATAGAGAGACGGATGGATGAGGAGATGGTATGAGATGGGTGGGCTTTTACGCTTGACGGTCGGAAGATGGGAATGGAGGATTACAGATAATGTAATTTTTGCACCTCGTTACTCTCGTTTTCGCGCAAGTTGTTTCTGCTAACGACCTGGTTGTTCTGGCGATTTCGCGAATAGAGGGATAAAGGAAGATGTTTGTCGATGAAGCAAACGTGGAAGGGGATGGAGCGGTGGGTGAGTGTTTATCAAGAGGGGAAGCGTGAGTTGGAATCTTTCACACATCGTACCATTCAGCATTTATGACAAAAGACAAGCAAAACACGGAAGATACGGATCTCGACATGGCAAAGATCAAGTACATCAGACCCAGCAAAAGCCAGGAGAAAAAGGCTGCAGCACCACTTGTACCAGAACCAGAACCAGTACCAGACACAAGCGAAATGTCAGACGTGCCCTCAAACTTAGACCCAGAGTTGAATGACGATGATTTCAATTTCGCGGATGACGGAGATGAGGCAGAACAGCAGGAAGATGAGGCAATGATCGGGGAGGACGATGTCGAAGAGGATCTCATCGTACGCAAGACCCAACTTGGGGAAGGGGAGGAGACTGGCGGAGATGAGGACGGAAGAGAAGATGCACCTATGATCGACGATGACGATTCCGCCGACTCTAGCCACGAAGAGACCAAACAAGACCTACTAGATGAGATTTATAAAAACTGGGTTGGCGTTACCTTGAGAGATACCTTGCAGGAGAACGCCAAAGAGTCCTGGCTGAAAAGGAACACAAATCTTCGCGACACAGACTGGAATATCGAGACCTTGCGTGCTTTCCGTGACCTCTCCCGGCTCACGAAAAACGACCACGACAAGGCAAAAGCGGCAGTTGCCAAGAGGCTGGGCTGGAGGAAACATCGTGATAAATGGGAGAGAACTGGTGAGACACGCGAGGTCAAGGAACAAAGGCTGCGCGACGATGTCAATGCAATCTGTGCGGAGCTAAGAGCAGATGGACGAGGACCGGAAGACGATGACGGCGACGAAGGCGAAGGGGAAGACGACGAACCGAAGGAGGGTACTAAGAAGAAAGCAAAGAAGGCTACAAAGGGTAAAGAAGGAGCTGCTGGGCCCCAGCCCACGAGAACACCGAGAGCGAGAGCTGCGAAAGCAAGGAATGATGGGACCAGTTCAGCTCAACCCGGCAAGGCAGCCAAGCGACAGCCGCGCACCATGGTGGGAGAGGACAATGATGGGTTGAATACGTTAGGCGAAGCGGCAGATGACGAAGACTACGTGAATGGCAAGCCATCTAAGAAGCAAAAGAAAAATGACCAGCAAGTGGCTAGCAAACGTAATACCAGGGGGAATACAAGGGAACGGGAATTAGCTACCGAGCGACGACAACAAAGAGAAGAACGCCCATCTACCCGAGATAACCTCATCAGCTCCCTGCTAACCGAACTGTCTGAAGATGCCGAAGTTGAACAACAACCAGACTTCGACATCAGGACCCCGACGCAGCGACACAACGCCCTCAGACAAATCTACAGCAACTGGGGCATCACTTCATTGCTCGATTACTTAGGAGAAGACCTCCAGCGTTCAGCGGCCGTAAGAAGCGATAACGACATTAATCTGATCGTCATTACTCGAATCCTGCATCTATCCAACATGACCAATACGAGAGAGCAAGGTGCTGCGGTGAGACAAGAGTTCGCAAGACAGCTGAGCCGGTCCAAAAAGCACACCACAGACACCCTTCTTGCCGTCATTGCAAGAGTCACCGAACTGTATCGTCTAGCAGCACAATTGGCAAATAACACCCGTTTACCGTCAGCACAGACTCGAACTACCGCAGCCAACGTTCTAGCACAAGCCAGAGCAGATGGCACAGATAGAGCAGTACTACGCGACCCAGCGAGACCGAACACCGAACACCGCATCCCCCGTCCCGCCACAGAAGCAGAGCTACGAAGCTCATTAAGCGCCATGGACTTCCGAGACGCGAACACGTGGGTACTTCAATGCAGGCGCAGGCTAGCCTACCTACGCGGCATCGGTGTGTCTAGCGATGAAGATGAGTCGCAGTTGGAAAACGCGATTGGGCTGCGAGATCGTATCGAGGGGGCTATGGATGTTGATCGTTTGAGGGACCGTATACAGGAAGGACGGAGGAGAGAGGAGATGGATGGGGAAGGCGCGGAGGAACGGAGTGGTGAGGGGGTACGGGCAGAGGGTGCGAATGAGCAGGGTGAACAGAGAGCTCCGGTGAAGGTTGCGGGCGATGGGGAGGCTGAGGCGCAGGGTGGAGAGCGGGGACAGGAGGGAGAAGGGGATGATGTAGAGGGTGGTGGGGGAGCCCAGGCAGACGGGCAAGGCGATGGCAATGAGAAGGGTGAAGGGGCCGAGATCGGCAGTGGAGGCGAGAAGGAGACGGAGCAATAGGGTAGCAGACGTGCGCATCCATACTGCCTGATAGTTTATTCTTATGTCAGTGTCTTCTAGCTGAACTAGTACAACTCCATGATCTGTCTAGATCTGTCCGAGACACATGTGGAAAGAATATCAAGACTCTCATATACTTGTCCCAACACTGAACGGTGTGATGCCATACCTAGATACACTTGTTTATCGCGATGCCATCTGGCAACGATGTTCTCGAGGAGGCGAAGCATCTTCGAAATGCGATTGCTTGGATTCTAGATTGCTCTACGAGAACCTAGTACCAACTGAATGCCGTTCAGGTTTGAGAGATGAAAGAACGAGTTTGTTTGGATGCAAACGATGGAATAAGATGGAGCTGCGAGGGCTTATATATAGCCAAAGAGAGTCGTGAACCAAGAATGTAGTTCACTCCGTCCATAAGATAACTGCAATTGTTCACCTATCTTATCATTCAATCTCTATGGGAAAAGAGAAGCAAAACACGGAAGAAACGGATCTCACAATGTTGCCGAAAGGGAAAACCAAGTTCACTCGCTCGCTACGAGAAGAGAACAGAGAACGAAGACATAGGCAACAGAACGATACTAACGAGAACGCCGGCGATGAGGTACCCGTTGCACCCACTGTACTCACTGCGCCAGCTGCACCGGCGGCACCAGCCACATCTGATGCGGATCCTGATACCAGGGAAGATAGCGTGATGGTTGATGATGAGGCGGAGGAGGCAGTAGAAGATGGCGTACAGATGCCGCACCGCGAACTTAACCCTGAAGACGAAGAAGAGCTGCGAAACTACTTGACTGAACTAGACGACGAAGTAGCTGTACCGGCGACTGCGAGTGATCCTCCGCCTCCCCCTCCTGTGGGTAATGCAGCTGCGCCGGTGATCGCACCTGTCCCGGCCCCTGCTCTAACGGACGCTCAACGAGTAAGACAAGAGACGAATGCCATGGCTAGGAATTGGGGTCCACGGTTCAGTACCCTGAGCGGCTGCATACCGGCAAATACATGGCTCAAAGGTCAAACGAAGAACTTGACTGAACACACATGCGAACCAGCTACCCTTAAGCAACTGCGGGAGTTATCCGACGCAACTCCTAATCTCGGCAAAGAAGTCAGAAAGAAAATTGAGTCGCGCTGGAACACGAGAAAGTCAAAGACTGGCGATATAGGTAGTACGCCGGCTGAGAAACAGAAGAGCCTGCGCGATGATTTGGAGAGGATACTAAAGGAGTACGAGAAGCAGGCCGAAGCTCAGGGCAAAGGCAAGAAGAGATCTGCAGGAGATGACGGTAAAGAGATGTCTGAGCGCAGGAAAACCTTGAGGCATAGCGCAAAGCCGAACTACAACGACCTAGCCCCTCACCGCCTACATCAAGACGACGACGACGACTCTGGCTCAGGTTCCAGTATTATACTCCACGACGGCCCAGCCCCGAAGAAGGCAGACGATGGCGGAAAGGCAGCGGCAAGCGCAAAGCAGAACGGCAAAGCACCAGCGACTGGAACAGCAAACAACGCCACGCAAGCCGCAGTACTCACCGAATTACAGAGAGGCCGGGCACTCAGTGACATCTATATCAACTGGAACATCTACCAGTTGCATCTCGACTTCCCTCGAGGCCTCTTTCCAGCCAACATAACGAGCGATACGGCTATCGACCTCAGACTCGTCGCACGATTGCTTGACCTTTCCAACCTTCACGATGATTCTCGGCAGGCTTTTGCTCTTATGGAACGGATCAGGACTCACTTGATGCAGAGTTTTGTAAGGGCGAGAAGTACGGATGAAGCCCTTGCTTTCCTCGCACAGTTTGATAGGCCGACGCATGCCGCAGTACCGATACCAGGAGGACCTACGGCAAGGACGACTACGGCAAATGCAAGCGGTGGGCCATCGATCAGAGAACTGGGGCGAGGTCCTCCTCCGCCCCCACTGGGCACCGGGAGACGTAGCGCCTTGGACATGATCGGAGGGTCCTTTGGAGATGATAGCCCGCGTGGACAGCCGATGGTACTCAACGCAGAAGAAAGAGAGCGCAGGCGCCGAGACCGCGAACTTCAACCTCCAACTGCGTTGACAAACCAATCCTTCCGAGCTTCGCAAGCTGCGACACAGCCTGCTGCACAACCAGGACTATCGCGTTTCGAAGGCGGTGTCCTGACTATAGGAACGAACTGGACGCTTCGTCGTGCTCTCAACGACAGTAGGCAAGCTGATCAACGCATTCATTCGGCCCGCCGTAGATACGAGCAGGCCGTTCTCAATGGACAGTCCGTTCAGGATCAAGCTGCGCTGCTGATGGGAGTAGAAGCAGCTAGAAGAGTGAGTGACGAGGCGTATGCGAGGACGGACGAGTTACAGGGACGCTGGGCAGGAGCACCATCGAGACGAAGTATGATGGGTGATGGTCCAGGGGGTCTTTCCGGTGGCTCTGGATTGGGACGCAGCACGCAGGCTGAGGGTGCTGGTGAGGAAGGAGACGGAGAGATACAGCAGGGAGGAGATGGAGGAGAGAATGGCGGAGGGAACGCTGGAGGGAATGGTGGAGAAGGTAGAGTGAAACGCAAGAGTAAGACGAACGAAAAGGAGAAGGAGAAGAAGTAGCGGAACACGACGTGGTCAGTGTCTAGCGAATGTTGATAGAGCTATTGTTTCTCATATCACCAGCTGCCACATTCGCGTCTTCCCATGCCATTGGTAACGATGCCAGCAACACACCGGCACACTCCAATGTATCATTATTCAGATATTCGCTTGCTCCGCTGAACACTAGTACTGCTTTGGAAACCTTTGTGGCGATGTCTTTCAAAGATCAAAGAGCGTGCTTGCTTGAACACAAACATTGGAATAAGATGGAAATGCGCGGGTTATCTTAAAGAGAGGAGAGCTGTGATTTGGAAATACAGTTCAAGCAACTCTCAAGACATCACCAACGCAATGCCCCCAAAGACGCCCAACCTCAAAGGAGCTGAACCCCCTGGAGACACCCAAGCCGAAGCCCAGGAACGAACACAGGCGATCGCCACCATTATCGCTAACTGGGGCCAGGCTTTCTCTACCATGACAAGTTGGATGCACGCCGACACTTGGCTCCAGGGCAGTACGGAGAAAATGACAGAGTTCACCTGCGACATGACGACTATACGCGCGTTCCGAGATTTGTCGATCAATCATCCAAACCAAGGCCAGGAAGTCAAAGACCAAATCGAGCAGTACTACATTCGTAGATACCACGGCTCAGGGCCCATAGGTAACACTAAGGAAAAAAAGATGGGTTATATCTGCGAGGATTTGCAGAAATTGCTCGGGAACAACTTCATAGACCAAGCAAAGTTCAAAGTCAACAACACGAAGAAGAGACCAGCAGCGGGAAAAGGGCCTGGGAAGAAACAGGCTGCCAGGAAGAAGACAAAGAAAAACAACACTACCGCCAGCAACGATCAGGATGAAGATCACACGATCACATCCGAGGTAGAGGAAGAAGACACGGTCGTTCCCGAATCAGACGAAGCAGAAGATGATGAGCCTCCTGCGGCACCCAACCCTAAGCCTGCAACCAAACCAGTCAATGATGGAGCGGTAAATGAGTTCAGACGAAGACTAAGATCGCACGGAAAGGACGAAGTAGAGAAGGGAGCACAGCAGACAGGAAAGGAAGGGAGCAACGCAAGCGAAGCAGACGACGACACTTCAAGCATCTTCAGCGAAGCACCCGAAGCCCAGACCATACATACGCGAGAAGATAAAGACGCGGCACTCAGTCAGATATACTCTAACTGGGGCATCCATTCTCTCCACCGCGACTTCCCAGCTATACTACGCGGAGGCGACCTTGATGCTCCGGAGGATACAGGTATTGAGGATGTGATCATCGAGCTGCTTCGTGACTTGTCCGAACGTTTTCCTACCAAAAGACAAGGCAAGAAGATCAGCGAGGAACTGGAGATGCGCTGCAAGAGAATGAAACGGTACAGTCTCAAGGCTATTCATCAAGCTATCACTGCTACTGCTAGGAGCTGGGTATCAGAATCAGAATCAGAAGAGGACTGGCCAGGACTATCAGGCGATAAAGGCGATGCGAATGAGCGAGGTCCCCAACCGGAGGCAGGTGATGCGAATGACCAAGCGCTCCAGTCAGAGGCAGCACCACCAGCACCACTCGCGGCACGGCCAGACAAACAACGACGGTACGCCGCACGGAGCGATGAAGCATCTTTCGAAATGCAAGCAGCCTGGGATGCAGTGGTAGTTGCTGAAGCGGCGGTCAGAGTAGCGCAAGCCCAGCGTGTCCGCGCTGCTCTCGAAAGTGAGACTGCACACCAGCAAGCAATTCGCCAGTTGAGGGTTACCGAAGAACAGCTTCGTGTTGCTGAGGGATACGCGCTGGCGAGAAGTCTAGGAAGACCGCAGAGAGTAGGCAAGACGGCTGGGCCGGGGGAGGAGGAGCGCACTCAGAGACGGAGTGGTGATGGCGGAGGTGTAGTGGGAGAGCGAGAGCAGCGTCGTGGAGGAGGAGTCGGAGAGAATGGAGATGTCGAAGTGAATGTCGGGGAAGGAGATGGCAATGGAGAAGGTGATGAGGAAGGAAGAGTGGCCTAGAGCAGGGAAATATTGTCGTCCAATCGCCTCGCGGATATCGTGCGAAGCGCTCCTCCCTATCTAAAGATCTGTGGACTAGAATGTCAAGACGTTGTTATACACTTACGTTTCACATGCCATATTAGCAAGTCAGAATGAAGAGACGAGATGCTTTCGCTACGTATACTTCGTCATACATGAGTGTCCACGCGACAGCTAGTCGTCAGTCAACGCCGCCAGAACTGTTTCATGACGACAATACCCATGCTATGCAACTGCTGCGCGTGACCACTGGTCCGCGCTTGCGTAGACCAAAGAAATCTTCCTGCAAACAGTGTTCCTTGTCCACCAACAGCGCAAGCTTCACGTATCGTATCGTATCCAGAACAAGGCCATAGCCACGGATGTACAGCCATCAGGCTAGTGACGCGGAGCGCCTGCCATATCCACGTCCTCCATATCTGCCGAAACCGGTGTGGGGATGCCGAAAGAAGTACTAGACTGGCGAGTCCGAGAACCGACGTCCAACGTGGAGGATGAGCTGTCACCACCGTACCTCCTCTGCTGGAGATCGCGGAGGATCTTCTGGCCTTGGAGAAGAGAGTCGCGTTGTCCGACAAGCTCCATACGTTGGTTGAAGCGATGAGAGGATTCCGAGAGGAGGCGCTTGGCGTTTTCGTAACCTGAATCGAAGCAATTAGCATATGCAGTCTCCCGTCTAGATAATGGCAACTTACCTTCATGGCCCTCATTCAGACCAAGACCATTCTCAAGCTCGTCGCGGAGTTGAGTGCGGAGCTGCTTGTAGAACTTGGATTCTATTCGCATACATACCGCATCGTGAAAGCGGCGCACGGCGAGCATGTAGTAGGTAGTGACCTGAGCGACAACGCCTCGCTCGACGAGGTAAGGCTCATGGTTAAATACCTCCATAGCCCTGACATCTTTCTTCAACCTCTCTTCTTCAGCAGGACTCATTGGCTTGCCTGTGCGCTGCGCTCTGCTGTTCTTGTACTTTGTGAAGCGATATTTGAAGCGAGCTTGTTGGTAGTTTTCTAAGACGGCCTCCTTCTCACATTCGAAGATATCGTTGTGAAATATGTATGGCCCTTCCTTCTCGTCGTTGAGGCTCTCGTTAGCCATGGTAGTGCGCTGCTGGTCGAAGTTGGTTGCTAGCATCTCTTCAACGATCTTCCATGCGGTCTGATGGAAAGTTGAGCCTTGCCATTTCTTGAAGTGTTGGGTGAACAGTGTTCTCATTTGATCCTTAATCTGCTTTTCGAAAGCATCGAAGAACTTCGCAAGCGGCTGGTCCCAGTGTTCAAGCGTGCTGAGCATGAGGTTATCGACCACTCGTGGCTCGATCTGGCCTGGTACCTTCGACTGGGAGTGTTCGGACAAGTATTCAGTGACTTCGTCGAGAACGAACTTCTTCTTCAAGCCACGGAAGTCTGTAATCATTGGTTGTTCTTCCGGCGGTTTGGGCAGACCTCGCTTCGGTGTCTTGACTGGAGAAAGCCCCGGCGTGCCGTCGATCTTGCGCTTCTTGGTAGGTGTCTCGGGATTGTTGCGCGCTGCAGACTCACTATCTTCGCTGTGCTCTCCGTCATCGTATTCGTCATCGTCGTCGTCTAGCGAAATAGCTTTATTCGCAGAACTTCCTGGCTGAGAGTCTAGTACGTCTGCATAAACGCTTGCGTCTCGACGTCCACCCGTCGCCATTGTGGGCTTCATACTGACTAGCGCATCGAAGAAAGCGTTTTGCAGAAGCCTCCACTTGTTACGCCATTCCTTGCATGGGAATTCGGCTTCGAGCTCTTTACGAACCCCCTGTGAGAAGTCGAGCACGACGTCAGAGATGATTCGTGACGCGTTGTGGTTGGGAGGTTCAGGGAACTGTTGCAGACGAGCTTCCACTACAGCAAGCCGAGTATCGATCTCATGCTCGATGACTGGGAGCTTCTTCGTTATCTGGTCGGCAAGCTTCCCCGAAAGGAAACTCTGGAGATTGAGAGTTCCGAAGCGGTGTGCATAATCTTTGAAGGTTGTAGACCACGGATCTTCTCCGCTGAAGAAGTGATGCTCTTGCAACCGAGCCTCTTGATGTGTAAGGCCTTTGTTAAGTTCATCCTGTGCTGGGTTCTTCACAACGAAGTAACCGTGCCCTAGCGCGAACCGTTTCTGATCGAAGACTTCCATTAGTTTGTCGTGACGTGATCCCTTCGGCAGGCAGTCGGGTTTGGTGAGTACGCCTGGAAGCGGCGTTAGCAAAAGAAGTTATAGACGATGATTTTACATACCAATGCATCTGTCAGTAGCCTTCATACTACGCGCGATGCCAGCAGCGGTTGAATTGGCGATATCAGTCGCTAGCGAGCAGGTGACTAGTATGAGAGACTCGGCGTCTTTGACGTAGTCCACAACTACGTCACGAACAAACTGGATGAGATACGCTTCTTCTTCAATGTCGGCTTGGTTGATGAGACCAGGAAGATCGTAGAAACTTAAAGACGGTGAACCCGGCTGAGTGATGGAGATGCATACAATGTTCGGACTGAACTTGCATTTGTGATGTTCTCCAAGTGCGGCAAGACTCGGAAGCAAGAATTCATGGTAGTCAACGCGGGGACTAATAGTGGCCAGTTGTGCGCGGCGAATGATGTGCTCCAGGTTCTCAGGATTGTCGGTATCAGCGAAGAAAGCGTCGTTAGGCTGTGGTAACTGTATCCAACCGGGAAAGCGACGTTCGTGGCTTGGACCTGCAGGCTTGCCATCGTAGCCGAAATTACGTCGAAGTGTTACGCTCGCGCTCCAGCCCGCGCGCGGATCATCGGAGGACTCCAGCTTGATGAGAAGAGGGCATCGGGTGCAAGTGTCATCGGCTCTCGGAGTCTTGATACCAGAGATGGCTTCAATCACTGAAGACTTTCCTGTGGATTGTTCGCCTAAGGATGTCAGCGAACAAAACCTTTGTATTATCTATAATTTGGTGACTTACCTAGCACGATGCACTTGGGCAGGGGAATGTCGTAGCGTTGCAAGCCTAAGGCCTCTAGTCGGCCAATTGTCGCAATGGCCTCCTTCACATGGATAGTAAGCGGATCGATTTCTCTAGAAGCAGGTGTGTGGATTGGATGTGTTGAGTCTAGATTATTGTTAGCTGAATAAAATCTTGTTGTGCTGGCGCTTTACTCACCATCTTGCCCAACCAGGTGAAGCGGCTCGAGGCCCTCACTCAGACGCGATACGTCGTCACGCGCGGGGTGAGTGGCTGACGAAGGCATGTGCGGATTGCTTTGAGCGTCGACAATAGCGGTACCTTCGAGCGGTGCGTCCGCAATGGTGCCATCGTCGCTAGGTGAGACTGGTCGCTTTACAGCCTCCTTACGTGTGCGGCCTCGAGTAGCACCCACCATATTGAGAAGTTGTACAGAAAGTCAAGTGGTGTAGTGGTAAGAGGTAAGTAGGTGTGTGTGGTAGCAAAGTTGATAACAACGAGAGCGCGAGCGCCAAGACTTGACTCTAGGCAGCAAATCCGAGGTGACACAGACTCCAAAGCAGGGTCCAAGAGCAGTACGCAAATGGAAACCATTGGACGAGCGTAGAATCCCCAGGACGAGAGGGCAGGAATGTCGTAGTGAGCGCGAGTCTGATACCACTTCTGAAGCGGTGAGCGGTGAATGCATGATACGCATGAGCTCAACTTGCAGCGAGGAGAAGACATGAGTTGGATGGACGACAGATGCTTGTACTTTACCTGCATGTAGGTCTGAGAACTCTGTCGGAAAATCATCTCTTTTGTACGTGGTCTGAGAGTGATGTCCAGGTCACACTCTCACCTCGGAAGCGATGCACACGTCCCCGTAAACGCAGTACAGAGAATTGATGCTGAAGATATAGAATCGATGACAGTCAGAGTTGATGGACAAGCTGGAAAATCATTGCGGGAGAAGGAGGCGGACAGAGGAGAACCGTCACACAGATATCGAATAGCTGCTCCTATCACAATAGACGTAGCACGCCAACCAAGAAAAGAACTAAACAGGCCTGCAGCCTACATCAACTTAAACCCCTACAAGATAGGTAACTTGGCGTTAATGTAGGCTCTAGACCTGTTCAGCTTTTTTCTTATATGAGATGGTAGTAGACTTCGCGACGAATTGGTCTGGATGTTACAGTATAGATTCATTGGACGTGCACAGTCGCAAGCGATGGGTGCTGCGCGGAGGAGCGATTCGTAGCTGCATTGTTCGACAGAGCTGCTATGGCTGACAAATGACAGAGAAAGTAGCATCTGACTCCATAAAAGCGAAAAGTTGATGCCGCATAGATGGTTCTGATGGTGAGTGACGAGACATGGAAGGAGGTTTGACGGCAGAAGTGGTCGCGCCAGTCCCGAAGATTTACCGCTAGCGCCAAAGCAGCAAGGGTCCTCAAGAAATTCCATCGAAGCACATCGTCACCGGTGGCTACCGTCCGACCACGAGCTCGCCCACGCCTCGCCTCACCCCCGGAATCGCCCAAAACACATCATCCTCTCTAATAATACATAATGGATCATTCGCGCGATCCCTGTCCCTGGGTCATTCTCAATGACTTTGGCGGTGCCTTTGCCATGGGTGTATGTCCCCACCAGCGCTGCATCTCTGGCCCGTATACTAATACCGCATTAGGCTGTCGGAGGAGCAGTATGGCATGGTGTGAAGGGTGTAAGTATCTTTCCAACCTCATAAAGACCCGCGCTTACAATCTGCAGTTCCGTAACTCACCCTACGGCGAGCGACGCATCGGCGCCATCACAGCGATCAAAGCCCGCGCGCCTGTTCTCGGCGGCAACTTCGGAGTCTGGGGAGGACTTTTCAACACATACGACTGCGCAGTCAAGGGAATACGGAAGAAGGAGGACCCGTGGAACGCCATCATCGCAGGATTCTTCACAGGTGGCTCGCTCGCAGTACGAGGAGGATACAGGTCGATGCGAAACGGCGCGATATCATGTGCTATTCTGCTGGCTGTCATCGAGGGTGTCTCAATTGGCTTCAACCGCATGATGGCCGACAACACAAGGCTCGATGCGCCCCCACCACCACCAGCCGACGTGGGTGCACCATCTGGCGGCGGCGGCATGGCTGTGGCCGCGTAAAACGTTTTCGATTCACGATTTATACCTCTTCAGAGCGAACCGTTATCAGGCCACAGGCGGGCAGCGACATGTCTGGGCAAGCGGTGTTTTTGGGTTGTTTGGCATATACCGCAGGTTTCTGCAGCGGGCGGCGTTCACACTCTCCTCAGCTTTGTGCTATACCTGTATCATATACGCGACACGACTTGTACAACATCTGGAGGCGTCTCTAGACGGAAGCCTGAGTGTGCGGAATTCAGAAGATACGACACATCTCAATGTCCATCAGCTATTGCGCACCCAATCCATTGAATCCGAGCTTACCGCAATAGTCTAAACTCAAAACCCGCCTAAAATAACTTGATGACATCATCAGACCCACTCCTCAGTAAACAATCCTCTGAGCTTCCCCAGCATCCTGCGGCGTTTGGGACACTGCGAATGCCTCGAAGGCTAAAACGCACGCGTGGGGAAGTCACTGAACGGAGTCTGCTATAGCTGCAGGTTGATGCTAGCTCCTTCGAGTCGGCGTGGCTGACGGCCTTGAGCATTGACCGCCTTTTTTACCCTGGAAATACTGCACTTGCCGCTTCATTCGATGTCTTCACCTCAACCCACGATGCTGCCTCCACACGCGCCAGAATCACGAATCCCATCTCCTCCATCTCATAGTCCTTATGTTTTGCACTCGACTATTCAATAACACCAATACGATATACGACATTTCTTCCCAGACGCGAATATGGCACCTTCCAAAGATTTTGATCTATCCAAAGCCATCCAATCAGAGCTCACCTGCATCTTTCCAAGGTCCTTGAAACAACATGTCACCACTATCATGACCAACTGGCACCTCGAATTCGCCAAAGACTGCATTCCACGTCCATTATGGCCCCAGGACCTTTTCCCTCAATGGGGTGCCGACATCATTATGCTTTTAAGCGAGATCTCATCACTACCTGGCGCTACTCTCCCAGACTTCACAAGGAGACTGAAGGAAGTTGTAAAGATGCGTCAACAGAAGAACAAGTCGGCGGCTGGCAGATCGAGCCGGGCCAAAGCTGTAGATCTGAAAGCCGTCTTGAAACAATATGAAAGAGATGCCGAGGAGATGGGAGCTGGGCTAGCCAGCCCGGAGTCAGACGCGAAGGAAAAGAAAGGTGGCCGCACAACCCGGAATACCCGTATACAGGTGCCGAAAACACCTGTCAACAACGACGACGACGACGAGGAAGAGGAGGAAGAAGGCTCGTCCGAGCCCCTCGCGGGTGGAAAATACCAGTACCTCTCCGGCGTGCGACCTGTCAAAGTCAACCTGAACCCCGATGCATCCGCTGTGAAGAAGCCAACGCGACCCAAACCACCACCAAGAGGCAAGAGACGGAAAGCAAATGAAGATGCAATGCCAGATCCTCTGGCAGTCGAACTCCCAACCTTAGTGCATCAAGACCCCGACCCCCGGGTGCCTGATGACACTGGTTTCCTCTCAGATCTTGAAGGCAATGAGGCGAGGGAGAAGAGCAGGAAGAGGAAGAAGCGGCTTTCGAGGCTGGAGCAGCAAAGAATTAGGGAACCGCACTGGCAGCTGGATAACGATAACATTACCCTTGATGTTCCGGCCCCGACGCAACCGCCCGGTATTTCTGCTGCAGAAGACGAAGGAGAGGGTGCGACCATACCCGACGCACACGATGACGAAGACCTGGCTTTGAACAACGCGGAAAATCCGGCACCGGATAGTGAAACGCACGAACCGATAGATGCGACAGAAGAAGCCGAAATCGAAGCCATGAACCTACTCGCCTCTCTGCCCGAACTTCCGACGAATGCGACAGCAACGGAGAAGCGTGAATTAGAAGAACTGAAGTTGAGCATGGAGCAGCGCATATGGCGAATCAAGATCTTGAGGATAGAAGAGCGGGTCCAGAATGAGGCGCTGGCCAAGCGCGAAACGGAAGGTGAGGAAGAGCAGAGTGGGGATCCTGAGGAGAACGCTGGTAGACGCGGCAGGGTTTCGAGAAAAGAAGAGAGGGTGCGGAACAAGGGGCGGGCTAGACGAGAAGCAAAGAGTGGGGATGGTGGTGCTGTGGAGAGCGATACGAGCAGAGGGGGGAGGGTGTTGAGGACGCGCAGGGGGAAGTAGGGCATAGATGCGAGGGGCACATGACACGGATGGATACTCTGGGATAGTATTCTATTGTCACATCAGATGGGGAGGCCACTGTCTAGCGCTTTGGAGTATACGCGCCTGCTCTTCTGACTGCGACCGGCGCGAGTGCGCAATCCGAGTTTACCGTCGCTACCATGGGCCCTGGTACATACATTGGTTGCTATCCACTTCATCCACTGGTACCGTAATGACCTTTAACGATGACAAGCCATAGATGCGAGGCACATTAGTCACTGATAAGGTAGCGTGGAGAACACCTTGGTTGCTAACCATTCCATCTACTGGTACTGTAATGAGGTCTAACGACGGTAAGCCACTCATAGGCTCCGCAATCACAACGTTACCAGACCAAAGAGAATACAGATAAAATTCGCGTAGCTATCTACCTTCAGACTTTCTTTGATCAACAGGCGTCCTTTGCTTCCACCTTTCAACCTGCAACACAGCTTCGCGACGATATTGCGCTAAACAGTATGGCACACCAGTGAGTAACTATGACTCTGCTTCAGATATGGCAGCTGAGAAGACTCGAGACGCGACCCAGATCCATTCTACAAGACCAATCCTTCTGATAGCTACGATGACCCTCAAGAGGAAGAGTACCACGACTATCTCAGAGAGTGTGTGACACAATTTCCTTATCGTCAAGACACATGCTAACACAACTCAGCGCAAGCGCATGGCTAGAAGACTACCGCGGGCGTGAAGAATTTCTAGCTTATGTACCAAGGCTAAAAGGCAAATTCAAATTTGCCACGGCGTCAGAATGCGAAACCTTCGAGGCAGCGGACCGCAGCCTCTCGAACATCCTCGCCCGACTTCCAGCCGAAGTCGACGAACGCATTATGATCCAAGAAGGCCCGCATTGCCGTGCGTTCTTCCAGAGTATACGGGATCGTTTACCAAAGGAGCTTCGTGAGATGGTTTTCGAAAACATCTTTCAGGGCACATATGTCTTGTTGAAAGCGGATGATGCCGAAGCCGAGAACTCCGACGCCAATAACTCCGACGACACGCCACCCTGTGTGAAGGCAGACATCGGAAGGCATTATCCTTATAGCTATCTGCTTAAGCCAGGATATATACACGACTCTGCGATAAGAAATGAGCTTATTGAAGCATGGTTCCGGACGTCAAACTTCATCGTCACGGATGCCGCACTCATTCGCCCCTTCTTGGAAAAGTACCCATGGAGCGCTGGCATTGATCCAGTGCAACTCATCAGACGAGTCGAATTGAAGGCAAAACCCCTAGAAGCCCCATTAATGCGCGAGGCCATCTGCAAAGATCTGGACTCTCTCAAATGTCTCAACCCGGGCACAACCATCACGATTATCGTGGATTGGCCCCCTAGATTGCCTTTTCTGCGGGAGATCGAGAATCGCGCAGCGTCTCTATTCCCAGTGTCGCTGCGTATGAGAAGTATGGGATACAAGATGATAATTCAACCGTGGTGTTGCCGTAAGATTGTGGTAGAACGAGGGAACCGTCGGGTGGAGGCATGGTTGAGGGAGAATGAGTGATTTCTGCGGTCTATATGAGTTTGAAAGAGTAGTTCAGGCTTACGTACAGGCGATGTAGACTTCTAGCTTCGATATTGGATTGTCACAGTTATCTGGCTTTTTCTTTGGATAGAGTGGAGCTCTTATCCGTCCGTACCATCCCAGAAAACATCGCGTGCTCAGCTTGAAACTACGTACCGGGCAGTTACAATGATTTCTTTACATCCTTGTTGGCTCTCAAATCATGACACTACATCCATGGCCATCCATAACGCTGTTCCGGAAGCGATAGCAGTACCTAAGTAGAGAAAGCGGGTAGATGGGGCGTACGTCCGCAAGAACCCGGGCGCATCAAACCCATGGTATCCTTCAGCCGTGATTGCTCTACCGCTGCTGTTTTATGGCGCGCCCTGTTTTCTACCACCACTAAAATGAACGATAAGGAGTGGATGAATGAGTAAGAAAACGGCAAAACCAGACCCCTGATGCGGCTCTCCGAGCGATACCGGATACCGGGGTTCACTACTTAAACTCTCATTTTCCGCACTTTCTACAGCTGCACTCGTGCATCAACTTGAGTCCTGCTAACAAGTCTAGGGCCGAAAGATGCAAGAAATTGCTACAAATCACTATGTTACCGCGGGTAATATAACCCACCAGTAAGTTACTGTAAAAGCCTTTTAGATCTTGATGGCTAACGAACGAAAAGAGCCAACGTAGGGTTCTCGCATTCTTCGGATTTTTCAGATACGGAGATGTCTGATGTCTCAGACGCTGAGTATAATGAGTTTCTAGAAGATAATCATGTGCCTTCGGATGAGGAGGACAATGAGATGTCAGTCGACGAAGAAGACGAGGTCTCGGAAGATGAAGATGATGAGGCCTCAGACGATGAAGAGGATGAGAACTCGGAAGATGGAGACTCAGAAGATGAAGACGATAGGCTTCCACAAGAGAAATGCGGGCTTTCGAAGGACCAATACGCTGCGCTTCTAAGAGATGAGCACGACGGGCTTCTAGAAGAGTCCGGTGAGCTCCAAGGCGAGGAAGATGGTGCAATTCTAGACGGAGAAGCCGCTGAAGCTGCTTGGCCTACTTGTTGCGCATACCTCAATGAGTGCGTATCAGGGTGTCACCATGGATGTTATGGTTGTTAACGTTTCGTAGCGCGACGACAGAACTGAGAGGCTCTCAGAAGATTTGGACTGCTCTTCATTCATCAGCCTACCACAGTCCAACAGGACATGCCACAAAAGCGGATATCGACGCTTTCCATGAAGCTAAGTGCGATCGGATACGATACGCCTATCGTCGTTCAATCCTCCAGCACATGCAAGATTTCTGGCCTCGAGAGCTTCGCGATATGGTGTATGAATACCTCTTCGAAGACGTGTATGAGAATCTAGCGGCGCGGAAATATAAGGTCGGTAATCTTGCTCCCTTCCGCCGAGACCTTGGGGTAAATTTCAGACTTTTCGCTGCGGATACTCAAATCAAACAAGAGCTAGCTAAAGCATGGTACGAAGCGACGAGGTTCTCTACCGAAGATGCCAGCACCATCGATTCTTGCCTCTCTCAGCTCGAATGGAGTGCTGCTCTAGTGGGTAAGCCACTTGACTTGGTCCTAAACGTCGAAATCTACATACCTGTTCTATACGCCCGAGACACTGCCGAAGAGATCCTCGACTTGCAAAGGCTTGGGTCCCTATTCCAGCTCAAAGAACGTTCGACCATTACGATCACTCTGGAAGGACACAACAACGAATCCAGATCCTTAGACGTGATTCGCACCGACGCGGAAGATTACGCGCAGAAAGTAGAGTGGTTGTTTTGGCCATTGGCATGCCTGAGACGTGCGGGATATAAGGTCATAGTAGCACCAATGTGGAACCGGACAGTCGTGTTTGGACCAGAGGACCTCACCTTGGAAAGAGTGACAACGATAATCCAAGCGGCTTTTCTTGAGTGGGATCCTTGATGGATTAGGGAAGTCTAGACCAGTTCTAAAGTTGCTTTTCGGGAATACTTCATTGATGCAACGATCCTGCGTCTATACCAATCGATCATCTCCTATAGATGGCTGAGTTCTCGGGGCCTTGCAGCTTCAGGTACCCGCAGAGCCGAAAGGTTTTGCTGTTGTGAGTATGGTGAGGGGCTCGCTGAACTTCGTCGCGTTAGGCCTAGGAATTCCGCTCAAAATGTATGCTGTTAGCAGCCTAATGGCACAAGATGACGCGTTTTGCAATTAGAGTGATGAACCTCCGTGGGCGTGGATGCTTCCCGACAAAGGTTCAAGTGGCGGGGCTTGCGCTAGCTCTGGAGAGTGCTAGCGGGTAAGTTTTGCCGAGGCACGATAGCGCCAGGGTTTCACTCTCGAAACGCGTCACATCTTCACTCACGTGCATCCTCCCGCCGTTCCCCGCGCACTCGTAATCGGACATCCTAGCAACATCTGTTGCAAGCAAGCAATGTTACAGAAATGTATCTTGCGCACTCTAGTGACTCCCAACATGGGGGCAGCACGACTCCTACGAAGACCACTCCGGCTGCGTCGCTTGAGCTTCGCGACACCCATAACTACTTAGGGAGTACACGCCAGCCAAGCTAACATTCTATCTCCAACGCGTAGCTATGTTTAAACAAAGGCTGAAGCCTCATACCCAGTATGTTACAGTATCCATGTAGCAACTCCAGACGGTGGTTCCGACGCGTCTGGGTGCGGCTTGTTTTGCGCAATCGTTTCATCTCCGGCTTCACGATCAGGATGCGTTTCAAGTTTCTACTCAAAAGTTCAAGACATTCTTATACAAAAACGAAACTGTAACCCATACTGTTCTTTTGCTCCTGTATCTTCACATTCCCGGAATACCGAATCCACTTACAAAGCACAGCCTATCATCATGAAGTCAGCTATTAGCCTGAGCTTGCTGGGAAGCGCGCTCGCACTATCGAACGAGAAAGTCGGCTTTGTTGCGCAACAACCTCTCATACAAGACGCATGCCCATCAAATCACCTACTTGACAACGGCAAATGCCTACCTTTGGCATATGGCAACTCACCAGCATCAGTAGCATTCCAGTCCAATACCTCCGACCCCTCGCCTCACACAAACTCTTTAGAAGACGCCCGCGCGTTAGCTTCCCAAACAGAAAACTTCCCCTGGACATTCTGGCCAGAATGTTTCACCAACGAAAAAGTCGCAGAGCCCTACTGCGTCTTCAGCAAACAAGACTTCGCATCGGGGAGAGGCATCTTCATCGTCACCGCACGTACCTTCGCCTACGCCATGCTGCAACACGACGCATTCAAGCGCCCAGAAACCCTCGAGCGCATCAACCGTTACGAGAACCCACCATTCTACCAGCATGAATTCCCTGGAAAAGGAAGAGGACTGGTCGCCAACAAGACCCTTCAGCGAGGCGACGAGATCTTCGCTTCCACACCCATTCTTATCACAGACCCCGATCTATACGACCTACCTGAATCCGAGCGCCTTGCGCTGCTGCATCGCGGTATCGACACGCTTCCGAAGTCGACGCAATCCTTGTTCTGGGAGCTCATGGGTCACACTCCCGATGCGGATGAGATAGACGACCGCATCACGACCAACAACTTTGAAGTCGCCATCGACGGCATCTCGCAATCTGCGCTCTTCCCCGAGATCGCGATGCTGAACCACGACTGCCGACCAAATGCCGCGTATTTCTTCGATGAAAAGACGCTGACGCACTACGTCCACGCCATCCGACCCATCTACCCCGGCGAGGAAATCACAATAACATACATCAACAACGAGCTACCGCGCGCACGGCGCATGCGCGGTTTGGAAAAGAACTGGGGCTTCAGATGTTCCTGCTCCACATGCACTGCCCATGCTTCTTTGGTGGCGGAATCGGATTCGAGGCTCGAACATATTGCGACTATTCAGCAGGACGTTCTCAGTGACTGGACGGAATCTTCTGCTGCCACTCCGGCAACGGCAGAGCTTCTCATCAGCTTGTACCAGCAAGAGCGTCTCGATGCTAGTCTCGCGACGGCGTATCAACATGCCGCGGAGACATATAGTAGTTTTGGGATGAAGTGGGAGGCGGTGCGGTATGCGCGGTTGAGTGTAGAGATGAGCATGCTAGACAAGGGCTGGAACGACAAGGACACCGCCGTAATGCAGAAAATGGTTGCCGACCCGACAATGACATGGAGTTGGAAGAAGAGGGTCGGAGCGAAGAGCGGATGTAGCTGTGGAAAGTCTCATTGAAGTATAGTAGGAAGAGAAATAGTGGTATGATAAGATACAGTCTAATTAAAAATAGATGAAGACATGTACAGTATTCAATGTTCTACAAAGAAGAGGAAAAGATGCAAAGTGCGAAAAGACTAGTTCTGCTCGATCAGTGCACCACGAACGCGAGTGTTGTACACGTTATTGCACTTGGTGCTCGCGTCCGCTGCGGAGATCTCACCCTTCTCGCCAGCGCAGTTACCGCTCGACTTCCTCTTACCGGCATCGCAAAGCGCAACACCAGCAGCAGGTACAGAGCCCTTGAGGAGATCAGGCGACTCGATGATCGTAGCAGCCATACCGCCAACAAGATGGAAATCGATGTGGCAATGGAAGAACCACACACCGGGGTTATCAGCCTTGAAGCGAATGACTGCGTAGCCGAAAGCAGGTACAACGAAACCATCGCGCTTGAGGGGTACGCGGGGAAGCGAACTCTCATCGCCGTTCCAGACTCCGAGACCCGTGGCGACGACTTGGAAGACGTGGCCGTGGAGATGCATGGGGTGGGGGTACATGTGCGGGTTGTGCATGACGATCTGGACGATTTCGCCGGACTTGATAACCCAGGGGTTGATGCCGGGGCCGTAGGTGGCGGGGTCCATGCTGCCGGTTGTCAAAGCGGTGTAGAGGGTAGGCACTTGAGGAGGAACCCAGGGCTGGGCGTTGAGAGGAGTGCGGGTACCGACGCCCTCGAAGTAGGTCTGGTTGGTGGTGAACTCGATGTGGTTGTCGACGGGGCCCATAAGTCTCTGGCCATCAAGCGGCTTCATGGTGAAGTCGTTGAGGATGGTTTGGGGTGGGGGCGTCCACTCGGGCTCGAGGAAGATGCCGTCGATTTCGTCGGAGATGCTGTCGATGATGTCGTCGATCTCGCCGAAGATGTCGTCGTAGACTACTTCTCCAATTACCGTTCGTTCCTCTGCTGAGGGGGCGCCGTTGGTCAACATGTCTGTCATCATCTGCGCAATCCAGTTGGAGGATCCTTTGGGGTCCTTCTTTCCTTGCACAATTACACCATAGCTTTGGCCGGCGCAAATGATGATCGTCTCTGCCTCCTGGGGCTGCGTCTGGACACCGTCAATCTCAACTACGCTCAGCGTGTAGTTTGCGATGTGGAAGCGAGCGCATGCGACAGCGGCGGTGTTGACGATACGAAGAAGGTACCTCTTGTTCTTAGCGATCTTGAGGTCAAAAGGCTTGGCGGCATCGTTGAAGAGGAAAGAGTCGGGCGAGTCGAAGTTGGCGTTTGTGTTGTCGGGGCTCATATAAGCCTCGATCATCTCGGGCATGGGGCGGTGGTACCTGATTACTGTGAGTTCGCGCGCGTGAAAAAGGCTGAGTTTACTTACCAGTCCGACATGGAAAGGTACACCTGTTTATCGATGTTCAAGCTCGCCTCCCAAGCTCTGTCGTGCACAATCATCTTGCCACGCAGACCATCGGGATATTGACCTTTCTCGTGCGCATGGTACCAATGCGTGCCAGCAGGGTTCGCGATAAAGGTGTAGGTGAACGACGATCCAGGTTGAATAGGGCACTGAGTAACTCCACTGGGACCGTCGTAGTTTTGTGTTCCCTTTTGCCATATGCCGTGGAAATGGAGTGCGGTGGTTTGATCCGGAAGGCTGTTGTGAACCGTCACCTGAACGGTATCACCTTCATCGCATTCTATGGTAGGAATTGGCCACTCTCCATTGATGCCAATAACCTGTCTCTCGAAGCCATCAGGCGCAGCCTACAGTGAGTTAGTGTTGTCATTTGGTGTCAACAGGTAGATTAGAGTACTCACAGTCACGTAGCCAACCTCGAAGTCATAAGTGACAGTCTTTGCACAAGCTACTCCAGCGTACACCGCCAACAAGAGTGCCTGAGATAGACCCAACATGTTGCTCAACAAGTAACGAATGAAATATAAAGAGTGAATATCTGGCTGAAGAAGCAGCGCTCTCGAGAGTTTAAGTATGAATGTATGCTTTTCATGGAAATGACTGACGTTGTTGGCCCGTTCGACTATGCTCTAATCGCTCCGATCAGATATGAACGCGTATTCAATATTTCGAAGCTCTCAACCCTTGCACGATGGGCCAAGATCAACGGCTTTGAACAGACCGCCCTTCCAGAAGGGGTAGAATGCGTCTGCGTGCCAGCACCCGATACGCGCAAAAGAACCATGTTGCACAGATGCAACAAGGGTCCGACCATGTCCACGCGAGTAGCGGGCTGCAACGCGGGAATGGTTTGATCGTTTTGATCACTGTGGAGGTATAAAGCTTGACGATACCGAGGCCAGCTATTGGCTCACATGGGGTGTTCGCACGATCAAGAATACCCACATGCACATGCAAGGAGCGACAGATGCCAATTGGAACCCCGTCCGAAACGCTGTCTCGCGTGCTGGGCTGGAAAAGAATGGAAGACACAAGTGGCGTGCATCTCAATGCTTCTATGATGGCTTGCCTAGACTAGGAACAGGTTAGCGTGGTGCGGTTGAGGCAAAAAACGATGGTGATCTTTCGGAAACTTTGGTATACCATGTACCGACAGTCGGACATGTGTGGGAGAGCCGATGTGGTACAGCATGTCCCATGCAGACGCCACGCGAAGGTAAAATTGCAGTGTTTAGTATGCGACGTGTGCTCTTGTTCGCTCTAGCAAGACAATATCCTTTTCACAGTCTGCTATTATGTGCGTAAGT